AATAACATTTCTGATCCGCGTGCCTTGGTTTTTTTACTGGGAAGAGAACCATCTTTATTAACACATCATCTTTATTTCTTGAAATGTTCGTGGGATATGCCTCACAAGGAGGAGAAGAAAAATCAAGCGAGTTTTCAAGTGATGATGTTGAAATATTTGTTTTCAATTGATATTAATGAGCATTACCGGGAAACGAAATCAATCATCGAATCATCGAATTCATCATCGAATTGGTGTGCTACAGCTTTACATTAAACATTTAATGATGGGGTCAGGCTTGCTTTTTTGAGGGGAGCGACAGAGGAAGAGGAGGAGGAGGGAAACTTTTACGGCTATACAGAAGCTTTCGTCGCTTCGAAGCTACTAAATAAGTCACGACTTTAATAGATAATATTGGGTTGATCTACGTTTTAGGATGTTACACTGTCGCTCTTAATAGAAAATCCAAAAAGAAATCAGTAATGTACCTGGTAATGGAGATACTTAGTAATGGAAATACGCATTAATCAACAGTAGTTGGATAAGCTAAAGCCTCGGCCAAGGCTGTGACGGATAATTTAGGGCTGAAGTATACACTTCATGAAGCTAAGATTTCGATCTTGCATGAAACGAATAAGAAATCAGTAATGCAGCTGAGTATGTTCGGCATCTAAATGTTTGTTTTTTCCCCGGGATGGATTCACTATAATTAAAAACGCCTATCTGATTCAAATCCGTCGTAAAGGCGGGGAACGGCCACAGTAGACTCGAGTTGGGTCACGCAACTAAACTAACTTCACGGCAATGCGGGAGGTGTCGCACGGAAATGAAGGCGCGTCGCTGTTAGATCGCGCAGATTGCTTCGGAAGCTACAAACGAAGTGGTTCAACGGTTTTTTCCTTCCTTTGGTACACTGTACACTATACCTATATGAGATATTTTTTTAAATACTTCCGTCATCGCGAGAGCTGCATCGCTCCACAATTAAAAACTTTCCTTCTCAAAACCCTATTCTCGGTCATCATTCTCCTAATTTTTTAAACTAAAAAAAAAAGGAATAATAATAATACATTTTTTTTGATAATTTAATAATTGAGATAGTTCAGAATCACGGTGTCTAGAATTCTTGACCATGATCATCCCTGATTTTCCACTGATTTTCCCTGATTTCCAGGAGCTAATTGCCTGATGAGTGACGTAAGTTTTCTCTCACTTTCCCAGTATTTCCTGATGAAAAACCCTTTCAGCCGATTTTTAGGCACACAATCAAATGTTTAATTCTAAAAGTGTTCCTGGTGTTTATACATATTATCTAGTAAATGCAAGCATCCGTATTATTATGATGATTTGAAGGTTCAAATATGTCATGTAAGAGGTCAATGATGGCGGCTCAAAAGGAAAACCATGAACCTAAATAACAACAGGTACCTAAAATGTCCACAAACTTTGAATACGAAATGGTCTCTAAGCGGCAGAGAGATTCCTGGTTTCAGGAACAGATTTCCTGATTTTTCCCAAAAATTGTTCATTCCTCGATGAATTCCAGTTTTTCTCGGTCTTTGACACCATAATCACGTGCTAAAGCAAAAAAGTACTAAAATATTGGAGTGAGAAACTCGATGGGGATTTCATGGGTCATGGGTCTTTTAAAGGTTTGGCTGCAATATCAGAGTTTTGAAGAGCCCAAGAATGAAATTTTGATAAACTTCAGAAATTATGATTCGTACGATCCCTCAAAAACTACAACTTTTCAAGGGGCTCCAACGCTCCTAAATTAGTACCTGTTAATCTCCTGAGACCAACACTGGGGAATCTGGGACTCTTTGTTGTCTTGGAACCGTAAAACGCCTTCAATTTACGAGATATACAATACAACTCGCATTGTGCGGGTCCTTTTAACTGCGTGCAACCCGGGCCACTATGCGCTGCTCAGGCCCTGGTTTTAGGGAAGTTTGAAGATCGTTTCGGTGTATTTTTAAAAGGGGCACATTTTGGCATAAAGAACGGAGCGTGTACCTAGCAAGAATAGTGGGAAGGGAACTTGAGAATCCGTGAGAAAACACATGTGAAATTCCAACTAAGCTGTCACTCTTAGTTAACGCCCATGGAACAAGGATACACAAGTAACGAAAAGTCTTGATGCTTTGGTTTCGACAATAACCGAATGGCACTGACAAGAAAATGCAAACTACTGAGGTGACAACATGGTGGAGAAAGTTCACGTGTAGTGAGCGAGAGTGGCAAGAACTGCCTCGATAGACACGATATACTCTCGACCGTGATTAACCTCCCGCTGAAAATCCAACGTCGTACCTACAGAAGTGTAGAGCATATTTAATGGCATAAACTGGCAACAAATCGGGGATAGGTAGGTTCGAGCATGCTCAGCTTTTTCTAACTACTAAGTCGATCACAAGGGCAACACACTCGAATGAAAGCATAAAACTTAGTGGAGATTATGTTAAATTATCTGACCTTTGAAAAACTCATCACATCAACGCCACCAAAGGTACAAAATAATTACAAAAAGCTTTCCAATTGGACTGATTGGAATAAAAAATAAAAAAACCAAGCCACAAAAAGGAGGGGGGGGGGGGGGGATGGGTTACGCGTGGGTTTCAAACTTAACAAACCTGTCATAAAGTCAAGATAGAGAAAAAGCGTTTTAGATGTGAAAAAAGAATTAACCTAACTGACTTCACGTCTAATGGAGGAAACTTTGTTAAAGGTGGAAAAACAGAGTTGCCACATTAAGAGTAAGTCACTTACCTATTGAAAATCGGTTTAATTCTCTCCTGCAAGGCCCTTTCGAAGGATCGCGCCAAATCGATTCCTCGAAAAGAACTTCGGTGTCCTCTACTACATGTCACTCACTCTCAGACCCCTTCTCCCCCTGGATGAGTGACGTAATTTATAGACGGCCCCAAAGAGTTGTGGAGAATTTTTTAATGGTTATCAGGCATCGTTAATACATAACACCCCCCCCCCCC